CAAAGATATTCGATTGGCGGAAGACTTTATAAGTTGCTGTTATGAAAGTCCGTAACTGAAGCTTTCATTATCAAAGTTTTCAGTAGTTCTGAGTAGTTCAATGCAGTCCGTTTGACAGGTCGTAAGGGTAATTTGTCTTGGCGTAATGACCAATTTACAGATTTGCTTAACGAAATTCGATTGCAAGCAGATGTTTTGTGGTTTGCCGAAGATGGTTACGTTCTCGAAATCGGGTGTTGACCGATCTGTTACATAAGTGTCTAAGAGTATTTCCCGTTGGTAGTAACCAATCCGGGAGAAGACGATTTTTTGAACAAGGTGAAATCGTTTATGGGCATTTGTATTGGTAGGACGCAAATCCACGTCACTCTGTATTTCGGGTTATATATTACACTAAAATAAATCGTACACAATTTTAAGTGAAGTAAGGTCAAGCTAATCCAAAATGTAATAATATATCTACTAGGGTCTCTCTTTAGGTTACATGGTTATAATTTTTCTCGTAATTCTTATCTCTCCCATGCGTGCTGCATGTCTGGTTTATCCCTTCTTCGATTCGATCGTCTCATATATCCATTTAGTAAGGAATGGAAATTCTTTAGTTTTCCAACGAGAAGATATGACCTACGAGGCTCGTCCACAAAGTAAGTTTCCCTGGGGCCGTTTACAGAAACAAAACACAATTTCATGGAAATATTTATTGCAATAGATACAGCAAGTGTCCAGCTATTTTTCAACATATTCGCCACCGGAATTGAGACATTTGTCATACCGTGGGACCAACTTTTGAATACCTGTGTCGTAGAAGTCTGCCGCCTGGGATTGGAACCACTGTGTGACAACCATCTCCGCCTCTCTGTCATTCTCAAAACGCTGACGCTGACAGGACAGGAATTTCTTGAGGTGTAGGAAAAGATGGAAATGACTGGGAGCGAGGTCCGGGCTGTAGGGTGAATGATCAAACACCTCCCAGCTGAACTCCTGCAGGAGACTCGCTGTCCGTCGAGCCGTGTGCGGCCTAGCGTTATCACTGACCGCACTTCACAGTCGGCGGGAGCTGGAATAAGAACCTCCATCTTCAACAGCTGCAACGATGCTAATGTGAGAACGCGGGAAGTGCCGTTAGTGCATGCGCCATCCTACGTCATTGCGAATTGTGCAAATGTAATTTAGCCTAGATGGTTAGTAAAGTTGGATATTGGACTGAACGTGTCGCCGTTTGATGAAGAGTTAAGGCCGTCGTGATATTGGGAGTGAGTCTGGTACTGAACCGAACTGTACGCGATTCAGATTTCTATTATATCAGGCGCTAGTTCCTTCAGTGCACTGGTTATCTGTCTTCCTTCACACCCCACCACAGCCCAGAATCAATCTCTTGGGGTACTCCGCTCTCAATGCCCTATTGATCGACCCCTTTCTATTCCTTTGTGCGTTCAGCTCACACCATCGCAGATGACTCTTTACGTCCAAAACTTGGAGCAGCGAAAGATAAAGAACGAATGGACGTCGAATAAAAATTCTTGTCTTCTTGTCATGATCAGGAATTTGTTACGAACTTTGGTCTATTTGCTATTTCAATGTCGAACTGCAGTTTCGTGTGAAATGGTTATTTTGTTGAGAGCCGTTCGAGGTTAGTGTTTCTGCCAACTTCTTGGTACTTATCGCGAGTTTGAAGAATCAGGTAAGGTGAATATTTCCCCTTTAAGTGGTTTGGTTGTATGAAAATCGAACTTGAAGGATGTTGCGGTCTGAATGCCTGCTTTTCCTTCTAGATCGTGGCCTTCCTGGTTCTATACCAACATTTCAGGACGAGGAGTGAACCTGAAAATTCTTCCGAAAGGTAGGCAACTTCACATTGCTATGTCTTGGAAGTCACTCTTTGTTTATATTTTGATTTTGGAGTAAAGAAAGTGTTGAAGAAATTGTAAGACTTGAGGTTTTCACAGAGGTGAGTATGAAGATTTCTGTCTTCTGGGTTGTTGCGCTGTGTAGTATGGTCGATGTTAACCAACGTTTCAGAGGTCATACTGCCTCCATCATCAGGGCGATTAGTATGAAGATTTCTGTCTTCTGGGTTGTTGCGCTGTGTAGTCTGGTCGATGTTAACCAACGTTTCAGAGGTCATACTGCCTCCATCATCAGGGCGATGAGTATGAAGATTTCTGTCTTCTGGGTTGTTGCGCTAGTATGACCTCTGAAACGTTGGTTAACATCGACCAGACTACACAGCGCAACAACCCAGAAGACAGAAATCTTCATGTTCAAGAAATTGTTTTATGGATGTGCTGTAAGCTCCTACCAGCCTAGGTCTCTTTCTGAAGTAGATAACTGACATTTGATCCCCCCGTGCGTGCTACATGCTAGGGGTAACTTACCTTTACATATGAATGCATAACAGATGAATCACGAACCACGTGTAGAATTATGCCATTTTCTCTTGGCTACGAGTATTGTGGACACTTTATTCTCAGTAATTCTTAATTTGTCCTTATAACTATGTCAGCACTATATTTTGTAAGCGATCTGATTATGAAATGAAAATATTTTTGTTGTCTTGCCCTCTGGTATGGTCTGTGATGACCTTTCTGGGATTTGTCCAACTCGGGAAGGCCGCAGAACTTATTTCCGAGGTGTGACAGGGGCTGATGAATTTGCTCACAGCAAAAGGGTGATAATGAGAGAGATTTTCTGCAGTCAATGAAAGTCCTGTTTCTTGGAAATTCTCAGTGTCCGTTCATAAGCGAAATGAACTGCTTCAAACTGTTTCCGAAGGCTCGGGTCTATTTGTGCAGGTTTGGGAAATGAAGTCATTCAATTTACGTTTCTGCTGTTCGTTTCTTGACTTTCGATAATTATATTTAAAACCTTGGCATGGAGTATTTTACATCTCTCTTTCTTCTATCTTGTTGCTAGGCAACCATAGCCGGTTTTGTAGCGCAAAAGCATTCTATGTCCACCGATCTTTCGTTGTCTGTGCCATCTCTGTAAATTGTAGGGGAGAGTATAAACGATAATGGAGAGACTGTGGTTAGGTTAAGAGCGCAATTTTGAACACCTTTAAATACTTTCGTTGTTTGGAGGTTTCTGTTTCGAAAGAAGGCAGGGGCGAGGTGCTGATTACAATCACTAAAACGACAGTCAAATCAAAGACTGTCGCATGCCCCACGAATTCACTTTGATTATTTAAAGAGGACCGTGAGGACTGAAATGAGGACCTTCCTCATTATCTAATGTTTTTAGACAGGGGACAGGAAAATTCGATTTCGAAGTGAATTTGTCCGAATTTAATTTAATATTAATTATTTCACGATTAAATAATAGAAAAAAAAATGTGTAAATATTTTATGAATCGGAATTTAGAAACATTAATTATGTTACGATGGTACGCGAATATCATTATTTGATTTCGGTGCTAAAAGATAAGACGGATTTGAGTAATTCTTACCGATATTTGTATTTTTCTTAAATCACATTTCCTCAAGTAATTTCGACACAGAGAAGGCGGTGCTTTGAATATAATTATAATTCTAGAAATTTAATACATTCGTGTGGATGCCTGATGACCTTGAGCAATGGGGAGACCGACAAATCTGTGCTCGCATGTGAGCAAGGAGCCGAGTTATCTCTGAGGCGAATTTATTTATGTAAACTACAAATATGCGGTACTGTTACGAAATCAGAATTATATGCGTAGTTACATTCCCAGCCAATGGAACAAGTAAGATGTGTTTTAAAGCAATGCAAACAATTGATTACGTCACTCCTAAAATCACTGATTTCTGTCAGCGACGTTTCACAGTTGCTGTATATCGACGCAGTCATTTGTGACGTCGGGGGTCACTCGACCTTTGGTCGTACTTTTTTAAGCTCATGTACGTTATGGGGGTTTTCAAAGCCACTACCTTGGAATAACGTCTCATCTTTGAACAGTCACCTTTTCGTAAAATTCAGGTCCAACTTCATTTGCTGACACACGTAAAATGTGTTTGACTGCCCAGTTCGACCACTGCATGCAGTTTGGGGGCTGATACCCTGAGACGTCATCTCAGGCCCTTCGAAGGTTTCCTCGAGACTGCAGGAGCTCCTTCCTCACGTCGACAGATACGACCGCAGGCTCGTGGTTTAGTGATGAACCTCCTTTCTTCAAACGTGCGATGGTACTGAATTATAAATTCGTATTTAGGAGTTTCTTGAGCACCGCTATTACATGAAACGGCGAACCACAGGACCCAGTTCGATGTTTCTTATGCATTCGTTGCTCGCTTTAGTGTCTCGTGATTCTCATTCTGAGAATGCACAGTTCCTATCGCATCCCAAATTCTAAAGTTTTGTGGCTACGCTTACGGAAAGAGTTCTAGCTTCCTTTCACGAGGTTTTCATTTCGTCTGTACCCAAATGGGCATTTTATGGACGCTGGTCTTAAAGCAATTGCTTTCGAAATTTAAATTCATTGGAGATTTTAGTAAAGTTTCTTAAATAATCCTCATATCGATGCCTAGACCTTAAAAAATAATCCCTCAGTTGTAATAAAATATAAAAGTTGCAATTTTGGATAGGGGGCATCGACTGCCAATCACGAGAGTAATTCCGACAAACGCGAGACACAGGTGGGAAATTTCGAGGAGAATCAGAAAGCGTTGTTATGACTTCTTTACTTTCGAATGTCTGAAGATTATTCTTTTCCATGTGCGTAATGAAGGATGAATCATTGAAAGAAATTATCAATTTAATTATGCCTCGTCTTTGTAAAAAAAAATTAGTAAGGAAATAATTTTTGCCCGAAATGTATAACATTTTTTTTAATACAGAATTCTTACATTTGTTCCGTGGTTATGCATTTGTACCAAGTATACCAATGCGTGCGTTTAGATTAAGCGAGAAGAAAACCACGTAGACACTCAATCACGAAAGCCAGTCTGCTACGTTGATTAATTTTTCCAGGTTAATGCTGAGTTATTGGCATTCATAATCATTTCATAACTTCATTCACATTTTGAGCTAATTAACCACAACAATTACATGTAAACAGTTGGCCATAAATGACCTATTTGACTATACGCGCGTACGATGGTCGTAATTTTAACAGGAGACGAGTATGTGATTGTGTCTGATGCATTTCCATTGCTTACTAAATCCGCGCTTAATAAGACTCAATTGTTTCGGCAGCTCCCACTGCGTCGGCGCGGGCGTCTGGGGTAGATTTGGAGGGGGAAGGACGCGATGCAAGGCGAAGTGAAGCTGTCTTACTTACAATTTAGTCCCACATCCGGCAGGTCGCGTCGAGTGCTTCTTGTCAAGTGTTCAGAATGATTAGTTTTCATAGAAGATCACCGATTCTTCTGTGGTACATAATATCAGGTAAATGATTATTTTCATAATGTTTATACTGTTTCTACAAAGTGGTTATTTTTCAGGGTGGTATTCTTAGGTCAAATCAGCGGTCAGAAATCACAATCAAATTGCAGTCTTTTTTTTTTAACAATGTCGTGTTGCCTCATTGCGCCACGTGTATACTTCCGCCATGATTTCCGGATATATGAAATGGCTGAAGTTTCAGAATAGTTAACTACTCTTCGCTAGCCTCAGTTAGCTTGCATTTGAAATCGCGTTATTTCAATTGTTCGAATGAAAGATTTGCTCGTAAATGCGTTTGACATGTGGTTATGTCTTGCTGAGTGACAAGTCCGCCCGACTTTATTGACTGGAGTGCTTTATACACGGCTGCAGATGTTAATTTGTTTTTGTTAAGGTATTGTAAGACCATATGGTGTGGCGCATTGCTTACTGAGGGGAAAAGGACTACTTTTTAATGTGGATGATGGCTGTGGATAAAACGAATAAGCAACTGTGGATGTATGCGGAGTTATTCACGTCAAAGGAAAAACACAAATTGAGGTTATGTTTTTAAGCAAAGGATTGGAGAGGGGGTAAAACGTTTATCGTAATGAGGACCTTCGTAATTTTCACTCTTCGAAACATATGATCATGGTGATTAAATCATGAAGGATGAGATGGGGTGGACTTGTAGCATGCATGGGAAAGCTAAGAGATTCGCACAAATTTATTGTCGAAAAATCTGAAGGGGAGAGATTGCTTCGGAGATTTATGCGTAAATACGACTGAGCTGGGTCTTAAGTAAGTGGCGTGTGAGATTTTGAAGTGGATTAATATCGTTTAGGACGGGGTGTAGTTACGTGATGTTATAAACAAAGTGATGAATATTCGGAATCGATACTAGTTGTGCGACTGTTAGCTTCTGAGATAGGACTTTGCTCGATGGAATTAAGTAATGGTATCATTACGAGTATTTTACTTATTCACGTGGACTACGGCGGATAACGAGGGAATGACCCGTTCCTTGTTCGACAGAGAACACGAAGTGATTCGTTGGTACTTATGCAAAAGAATTTACTTCGTTTCGTAATGCTATTTTTAACATATAAAGATTAAGAAATGAGAAGCAGACATCGGCATAGACCATTGTATGCAATTTGTTTGTTCTTTTCGAGCATTTTGTTCTGCCTTTCAATGTAGAATATGTACAGAAAATTTGCTACCGTCGAAAGAAATTCGTAATCAGAAGTTTTACATAAATTATCTCAGTTGCTAACCGATAAGACTATGTTTCATGTAAGATTTATCCTGTCTAAATATCTGAATTATTATATTTTGTAAGCGGAATATATAATTTAAATTTGAAATCGTAATGAATTATGCCGTATGTCTTAAGCTAATGACAACGTCGTTAAATATACCACAAACAGACAAGAATATACGTAACTACTGTTGAATTAGATAGTTGAATAGGTTAAATCAATTGCAGGATTGAATAATTATTAGCTTCTGATTGAATGACCGAATTATCATTTACTGTAAACTGCACCGAAGGGAAAATAAGACATTAAGTATTATCTGGGGGAAAAATTTACGTGCTTTTACTCAGTGTAGTAAGTGATCTGTCCGATATTAATTCCTAGTAAAGCGAGCGTGTTGCAGCTTTGTTAATATCCTCAGCCACGAACATGGTTACCTTCTCTCTCTATGATTTAGAAGTCCCCACCGCGGTTGATAAATTCATTTGCAGAGGAAGAATGTTCGTGCCCCGTCTTGTGACGGTCACGTTCAGGAACGAGAGTGGAAAGTTCAGAGCGGCAGGAGAATGGAATGTAGTGACAAGGAGGTAATTACATGTCAATGCAAGGACGTTGTTCGCTTCGTATTTGTATTTTAACGTTCGGGGTCTACAAGCGTAGAACCAGGAACTCAATTAACCGCTGATACACGACCTGGTCTTATTAAACGCCCCCCACAAGTCAAACAGCGATGCACGGATGTGCCTTTCACATACTCGACAGTTTGTGTCTCCTTAAAAGTTTGTTTTTGCTTTCTTTAATCACGTCTATCCGATGACTTTCTTCCAACTTCTTACCTACTGAAAGTTATCAGCAACTTTATTCGGCCGCTAGCGGTCAGAACGCTGGCCTTGTAATCCTGGGGTCTCGGGTTCGATTCCCGGCGGTGCCCGAATTTATAACTTGTGTTGGGCAAGGCCGTGGTCTAGGCAACACGGAGTTTTCCTCCGTGGCATCCCAACAATTACTCCATTCACACACAGAAGAAGGCAATGGCAAACCACTTCTGGATCATCTGCCAAGAACGTATATGAACAGGTCCCAGTCCGAGAAAAGGATGGAAGGATCCTGTTCATATGGACCTGTCGTCAGACAGAACACTAAATAATAATAACTAATGTATGCAGATGCCATGCATGAGTCCTCTAATGGAGTTCCTCCGTTCATCTTTCGTAGGGAATTTCTGTACACCCATTTTATCCTTCGTAATCTCATCGCATCTCATTCTACTATAATTCTCCTGTTGATAATAGTCCCACGAAATTTCCATCTGATTGTATTAATAAAAGCGACAATCATGTTTGTTGTTCCAAACTACGTCTTGAGTGAATTCATGAACCATTACGAAAATTTCAATCGCTGTATGAAAGGTTGAAAAATCATAAATCGCAGAATCAGACTGAAATCTGATGGCTTTAAATTCGCCTGGACTATCTAATGGCTCTACACAGTCGTAATTTAGATACTTTGGTGGGCTTCTGATCTCCCCCCCCCCCCTCCCCCCCATACCTCCAGGGTCTTGTGTATTCTCGTTCGACGTAAGGAATTGGGTGTTCTTTTGTGGGGAACGAGAAGATTTGACTTCATACATCAAAAGAGAAATATCTGTAAGATACGAGGCTGTCTGTTCTCAAATAAGCAACCAAGGTCTTATTTATGTATTCGATCGTGCTTTGCTGGGAGTATTTGAAATTTGATTTATGATCGTAGATTCTCCTTGTCCAAACGAAGATACTCTGAGAGGAAACTAGGGTAAAGGAGATAACTAGATTGAAATGTATCGATCTGTTCGACAATTCACTGAAATGAGTTTCTTATTCTCTGCATGTTTGTTGTTTTTGTGTGCTACACATTTTTACATGTGAAAGAAATCTTACTGCGTGATTGATCACGTGGCTTAAGAAACGTTCTGCATTGCGAAATGGAAGGGAATAAGGAATCAAAAGAAGAATAAGATCCAAATTGATGTTCCTGTAGCACTGCTTATGATTAAACATGAAAATTCATAACAAAAATGCCTTTCACGATTTACGACTAATTTTAGGCTAAATAATATTCCACGAACGTTTATTTACTTACTTTTAAATGTTTTAAGCTTATTTTCTTGGAATCTTTGCAGTGTCTCTTTTGCGTGGTCAACTAAGAGCCTCAGTCGGGCATTTCTTTTGTTTGGGCGTTCAGTCCGAACAGCTAGTCCGTGCAGTCAGCACAAGTGACTCGCTCCTAGAATTCCCCTTGAAAATTCCACAGGCCAAAAACCACTGCGCCGCCTTTACTATAGATTGGGTTAGGTTAGGTTAGGTTATGTTAGGTTATGTTAGGTTAGGTTAGGTTGGGTTAGGTTAGGTTAATTTGTGTAGCGAATTTTGTTAGGTTACGTAAAGTTTTGAAATTTTTTTATGACGTTTAGACACTTCTGGCCACATCTCGTTACGCCTTACAGTAACTCACGCCTAGTCACGCTTTGTCACGCTTGGTAACGTTTGGTCACGCTTAGTCAATAACTGTCTTTTTTCGAAATATTTGGTGATCCCTTGTCACGACGTCAACGCAGGTCACGCTTGTGCACGCGTGGTCACTAGGTCACGTTTCGACACGCTTACGTTGTGTTACGTACATCTCGGTAAATTTTTGCTACTTTGGAATTTGTTAAATGAAGATACGAAAGGTTGTGTTAGGTTAGGTTAGGTTAGGTTAGGTTAGGTTAGGTTAGGTTAAGGTGGTTTAGTGGATTTTGTTAGGTTAGGTAACGCTTTGAAAATTTTTGTGACGTTTAGACATTTCTGGTCACATCTCGTCATGCCGTTACAGTAAGTCACGCCTAGTCACGCTTTGTCACGCTTGAGCACGCGTCATCACGCTTAGACAAAATTTTAAAATTTTTGTCTTATTTTAACTATTATGGTGACCTCTCATGAAGGATTTTTTTGCAGGTCACGCCTACTCACGCTTTGTCACGCTTGAGCACGCGTCATCACGCTTAGACAAAATTTTAAAATTTTTGTCGTATTTGAACTATTATGGTGACCTCTCATCAAGGATTTATTGCAGGTCACGCCTAGTCACGCTTTGTCACGCTTGGTCACGTTTGGTCACGCTTAGTCAATCACTGTCTTTTTTCGAAATATTTGGTGATCCCTTGTCACGACGTCAACGCAGGTCACGCTTGTGCACGCGTGTTTACTAGGTCACGTTTCGACACGCTTACGTTGTGTTACGTACATCTCGGTAAATTTTTGCTACTTTGGAATTTGTTAAATGAAGGTACGAAAGGTTGTGTTAGGTTAGGTTAGATTAGGTTAGGTTAGGTTACGTTAGGTTAGGTTGGGTTGGGTTGGGTTGGGTTGTTCCAATTCAGAAAACTTCAGCGGCCAAAAACGTGGGAACGGAGTATATACCCGAATACCGTCCTCTTTTTGTGGCCATGGCTGGGAATCGCGTGCAGTCCAATCGGAGGAGTCAAAATGAGTGCAGTTTCCGAAATGTGTTCTATTTGAAATATTAGATTATATGAAAGGTCGAGAAATGCGGTAATATCGATTGCAATATGCTGTCGTCAGAACCATTTGTAATTGGCGGATTGACGGTGTTTGATTGGAAAGTGCGGAATGTGATATTTTGGACCTGAAATTAAACATCACGTGGATGGAGAACATTTACGACGACGAAATTTAAGATCTCAACTAACTCTCCGCCATTCTTATTATTAGAGTGGTCCATGTAGAATGTATTCGACGTTTTAATGAGCAGAGACGTAAACATGTGGGGAAGGGGGGGGGGGGGTTTTCAAATACGTGGCTCAGAACAGAGTCTTATTGCAGGTATATTACGAAATTCGTGATCCATGCAAGGCGGCTAATGTACTGTCAGCTTCTGTGTTCCACGGGGTTAATTAAGAGACAAAGTAGAGTGTAATTATGGAATGTGCATTAATGCACACCGTTGGATTCCGATGTTCTGTAACGAATGAACGGTGTGCGAGATGAAGCCAGCATTTTGTGTGCAGTTGTTCCCTAAGGAATGAGGACTCGCCCTCTCGAAGAAAAAGAATGAACTTTGTCAAAAAATAATAAGAGCGAAGAACCATTAATGAGGACAGGGAACTTTTAATATGCGCAGGAAAGAGAAGTCTGGGGTGGAGACGATGTTGAAAACAATGTGCGAGTGCACGTGCCTGCTATCTCGCTCCTCCCAGCATCCTCTGCAACCACTTTCGCTCTAATTCTTTACCCTAAAGGAAATCCTCAATGCTAGGCTTCCAGCTCAGAATCACGGCCTAGTATACGCGTTGCGTCGCTCGCCCCTTGAGACCGATCGATCCCCAGCCGGGTTACAGGCTGTCCTGATTGCAATTCTTTTTTTTTGTCTCGGTCTGTCGAAGAAAACTCCAGGCTAGCATGACCGCCTCTTCCTTACGTGTCCTTATATATTTACGTCAATATCTTTTCTTAGTCATTCCAACGCTGTGTGCCCGCTAGAATTCGCTAATAACTGATTTGGAATTAATATTCTGCTACTCGGCGAGAAATGTTTTCTGATAAACGAAAAACGTGTTTGTTTTTTGTTTTTTTTGGTTTGGGGGGATAAACATCTTTTTAGATCGAGGCTAATGATAAAATCTTTGAAGGGGTTCACGACTCGCCCTCATCGCTCCGATGATGGACCTCTGAAACGTCGGTGAAATTATATACCAGACTACACGACACAACAACCCAGAAGACAGACATCTTAAGTTGGTGCCTGATAACTGGCCTTTTGGTTCCTCGCAGTCTGTGGCTATCTGGCGGACGTCCGAGGCCCGCGATTTACCCTGGAGCCACCCTCACTGCTGGTGTTCTCCAACTCCAGTGGCGGAAGGGCAGATTGCGCTGCCGAGGGCTAAAAAAAGGGTGGAGTGGCTCTTAGTTAGCGATGGCTTGCCTGTGGGTCCGGTGTCCGGAGCCCGCTTTATTATGGCGAACGGGAGCCTCGTCTTTCCACCTTTCCGTGGAGACCATTTCAGACCGGATGTCCACAGCGCCACGTACCGTTGTGCAGCCAGCAACTTGGCCGGCCGCGTGTTGTCCTTGGATGTTCAGGTCAGAGCAGGTAAGCATTGAAATTCCACTTTGGTGCATTATTATTAGGGCCTAGTTTTATTTTAGGAACGGAATGGTTTGGGTTAAGCTGCTTGAACAATTATAACGATTTCTCGTAGGGTTACCAGCAATGTCAGGTGGTTGAAAGGCGAAACCATTTCCGTTTCTACAACCATCGTCGTCCTCGTCCTCAGGGTACTGAAATACTGGAACAAAATATCCTTTTATATGGTCCTCGCTTTCCTTCACGTCGATAAATGCAACGATATGCAAATTTGCTGGGTTTTTTTTTATTTTAATAAAAATGTATAAGATAAATAAGTTACCGAAATTAACTATAAAATAAACTTGTTATTTTTGCTGAGGTTTGGATACCGTATGTGGTGGCAGGATATACTGTATTAAGCTTTATAATATTTTAATCTGTACAGTATTATTAAAAATTGAAACTATGTTAATGAGATTCAAAGAACGATGGAACATTAGAACATTCTGGTCTTGATTTTACAGCAGAAGGCCTTAAAAAAAACTTGTTCTAATGTGAAGGGAGAACTGGTTTAGGTGTCAGATAAAGTCTAATAATACAGAAACAGGATTTGAGGACTTGGACTGACTTAGATCTATTGCGAACGCAGTCATGAACCTTCAAGAAGGAAACTGTTTCACGAAGATCATATAATGGCAGGCCTCATAACGTAATTGTTCCAGTAATTGATGATCTCCCTTTCTGCGTTAGAATTTCAACATAGATATCTGCAGGTTATGTTGTATCGAATAAGCATAATGGTATCGAATGTTATAGTACACAGGCCTTTGTTATAAATGGTTTATCTGTAGCACTATTATCACTTTGCAGGCCTGTATACTGTGTGAACGCGTGAAATTCATTCTCTAAAATCAATAGTGCTCACATGAAAGCTATCATAATCGATTAATACTTCATTAAAATTCCCAGGGAATTCTAAATAGTCTTTTTTGAAATGGTATAAAGCGATTTTGACATATCCAATACATACCATGGTTTAAATTTAAATTATAAATTTACTTTGGTCTAGCGGTTAGAACGCTGGCCTTGTAATCCTGGGGGGCTCGGGTTCGAATTTATAACTTGTGTTGGGCAAGGCCGTGGTCTAGGCAACACGGAGTTTTCCTCCGTGGCATCCCAACAATTACTCCATTCACACACAGAAGAAGGCAATGGCAAACCACTTCTGGATCATCTGCCAAGAACGTATATGAACAGGTCCCAGTCCGAGAAAAGGATGGAAGGATCCTGTTCATATGGACCTGTCGTCAGACAGAACACTACAAATAAATAAAATGGCAGTGTTGTTCTGGGTTTCACATACCAAATTTTGGGAGGAAGATACTTTCTCCATATTCAGCCCTGAAATGGAAATAAGGTATTTCTCTGAAACGGTCTACACGGCGTCGCAACCCGACGCTGTTAGAAGATCAGACTATACGTATAACGTCGAATGTCAGGGTTATAAATTACAGGCAATGGATGAGGTGGTATCACTGAATTTTCGTGAAGAGACTGAGTAAAACCACGTAACTGCTCATTCAAGGTGGCGGGTCACGAGGTTCAGATTTAAAATTTGGATATTCCGAGTGTTAAACTCAATTGCTAATCGATCTGTCACCACGTCCGGTGCGTACAGCGTCGTGATTTTGCTGGTGTATTGTACACGAACAAGCCTCACGTCTTGAATGCTGGTTCAACGATGCTGAACCTATTGTTATGCTATTTGGACGAACATTGTCTGGTTCTAGCAGTTCGTAAACTTGCGGTCACATGGACAACGTCTGTACGAAGTCTGTAGAATCGATAGGTCGATTGATTAAATTCCTGATTAATGATCGAGATATGTGGTAAGTAAATCAGGTCGGCCGTGTACTTTGTGTAGTTAGTCACTGTCATCCGGGTCGAATTCAACCTTCTGCTGTCCAGTCTGACAGTAAGATTTATCTATAAAAGCTTCTGGAACGACCAGAGACATGTTAATTTTGCTGTGAAATTGGGTTATACGATATATTTTATTTCTTGGACAAATTATTTTCTCGTGTTAAAGTTCCAAGTCCGAAAAGTTAGGTTAGGTTATAAATTATATTTGAAACGAATTCTGTAGCTTATGTAGAGGACAGATTTTTTGGCATGAATAATGTACCCAATTTCCACGAAATTTAAACTTCATCAGTTGTTTGCAGAATGTTAATTTGGTGTTTAGTACAGGGTGATAAGAATAATATTTTGATTTTACGAGTACGAAGTAACAGGAGGCCAGGGAAGACAGCATACTGAAGAGGTTCGACATTTGTATTTTCTCTAAATATTACTAGAGTAGCCCAATCAGGGGAAGGTGAGATGGGCTGGCCATGAGGCACGCAAGAATTTTGATGTGTAATGCGCAAGGAACCTTAAGCTGAAAACCTAAAATTAGATCTCGAATACATGAAAAGTCATTATTATTATTATTATTATGATAGTGCTGAATGAAATAGAATGTGAAAGTGCGGATTGGATTAATGTGGCTCGAAATAGGTTCAAAAGCGAGCACGTGTATTATATTTTTCCTTTAAGCGGTGGTTGGGGGGGCGAGGATTTTCATTAACAGAGCGAAAAGGACCGTGTTGTTGAATTTGAAAAATGTGGGTCCCGTATCTGCTGTGCAGTGTAGCCCATTTTATTATTGCGAGTAGGGAATCCGCCCCCGGGCGTGGAGATCGATAAGACCACAATTCCATAGTAATCTGTGATCATGTCTGAGTCTGTCCGTTGTGACTGACATGAGAAGCATGGATGCACTTCCAAGGGGAATTTGTACTTTGAAAATTCGATCCTCGTATGGAATTCGAGGGTCTTAATGATTTTCATAAGCACAATATTGTGCAAAATCATGGAGAAAGGTTGTTAATTTCTAAGGTCAGGGACTATTTCGCTTCATTATCTATGTCCACTGACCTGGAATATATTCAAATGCTGTTGAATTTTGATCAGTTGTGGAATATATTAAATTCTCATTTGGGTAGACATGTGTTTGGATATTCTCAGTACGGAAAACACTTTCAGTGCACCAGTTTCTGGAGGACGGCTACTTCTTTAATTGGTTGATTACCTCCTACACCATCTCTAAATTCCCTAACAATAGCTAAAAATCTAAGCACTGTAAACATTTAGCACACGGAGTTTTCCTCCGAGGGCTTCCCCGGTTTCTCCGTGGCATCCCAACAATTACTCCATTCACACACAGAAGAAGGCAATGGCAAACCACTTCTGGATCATCTGCCAAGAACGTATATGAACAGGTCCCAGTCCGAGAAAAGGATGGAAGGATCCTGTTCATATAAACCTGTCGTCAGACAGAACACTAAATAAATAATAAATAATGAATAATTACATGGTACAGTGATTGGTGAATGTCTGTGCCAAGAACAATCTGCTTTGACCGCACGTCATGGAGACGGAAATTAATTTGATAGCGATTTTTAGGCTGCTTGTACGTGGAAATAGACGTAAAACCGAGTACCCATCCATGAATGGCATATTTCGTTTATATACACTGCATTGAATTGAACGGAATGTCAGTATAAACATTGTCAGTAATATAAATATTATAATTACACTCAGTGTAATATGGAATTGGGATGGAAAACACGCATTTAATTTTCTGTTTAATATTCAAAAAATTTAATTGGTTTAAAATGCAATTTGTCCCTTCTTTTCTTTTTATTGATGTTCATACAAATCTGCGTCTATTTGTTGTGGGCAATAATTATGTTATTACATAAAGCCTTGCCTTGTACTTGAAACTGAATAGAGAGATTACTAATAAGACCTAGGTTTGACTTGGAAGGTGTCTATTTGGTTCATCTGTCGAAGTTCGAGTCTAGCAACAGGTTTTTGTGAGCACGGTAATGAACATTTGAGTTTATTAAAATGAGAGGATCTTGTAGACTAGCGGAGCGGTCTTTAGCTCTTCAAGAACTCCGCTGCGTTAAACTACGTCGTCAGTCTGGAGACTGACTGTGGACTGGACGACAGGGGTTCGATCCCCGACGTGGGCAGAGGATTTTTCCTCTAACCTCTGCGTCCAGACCAGCGCGGTCGAAGCGTGACTCTGACCACTTACCCCATCTAGTACTGACGTTAAGAATGAGAAGGAGCTATGCCAACTCTCCCCCCCAAGTGCCTACATGGCGTTTAGCGGGACAGCTTTCCTTTTTATTTTACGTCAGAATGGCTTAATAATAAGTTTGTCCCAGAACTTAAGCCCTGTTTGTAGTGGCTTAATCTGTTTCTTACACAGTCGTGGAACAGCACTATGAAGCCAGGGTCTACGACTCCCGGGTTCTTCCCGGAAACACCGCGGTCTTCAGTTGTCAGGTCCCTAGTTTTGTAAGGGACTTACTCACGGTTACTTCGTGGCTACAAGATCATCATTTCAACATCTACCCGACCGCTGAAGGCGGTAAGTAACTGATTACTCTGCCTTTCAGAATAAACACATATATTCCTTCTTTGAACATTATTTACACGTTGTCTGGGGGCACCTTTTGTTTTCTTTGCGGTACGGACTAAATATTTAACTATTATGAAGACTGTATTCGACTACTTCAGAGGGTTAATACGTTGAAAGTGAAATAAACAGTTCGAAACGTCGATTTATAGAGAACTGTAAATAAGTAATGAAATTACTTTATGATAAATTTATTGTTTGTATTAATACTTGATCGATATTGACAAGTTATGGAATGGTATGCATTCACGGCTATTGTTTCGGTATTTTTCTCTCTCTTTGAATTGGTGTTTAAAGTATAATTTGTAATTATAATGCGGAATGCTCTTTGTTAGTTCCGTCACGTCTACTTCAACGTGCAGGGCCACGTTGAGGTGAAATTTCATTATCAGATGTTGTGGAATGTGAAGCAAGAACAGGATGATCGATCACTTCATAACATATCGCCCAACTTATTTAAGAGAAACTCTACAAAACGAAATTTACCTGGCTGCTTCGAGGATTAAAGCTACTTACGTGTACATCGTGCGCAAAAAACACATTCCTGTAAAACGTGTTTCATAACTAATTCCATGAAACAGTTTTCTTGTGAATCTAACAGCCGCTCTTCAAGTTAAGAATTCTGTCATTTATGGAACTCAAAGATTAATTCCAGTTTTCACAAAAGCTAGCCTGCCCATTCAGTTAAAGTCTGATATTGGTGATCGTAGTTTGTTCCACCTCGCGACTTTGATGCCTTCGTGTGAATTTATTACAAATGTTGTGACACAAAAGAGTATTTATTTTTATTAATTACCTGTGGCACGACGTCGATGCAAAATTTCAACAATTTCCGACCATCCATGGTCTAGTTCGAAAACTCGTGCGCAGGGCGCCATGTTCAGCTGTCGCAGAATACCCCTGTTGGGTTGGGCGCCTGCGCAGAAGGTGATGCGAAGTGACGTCATCCTACTTGTCTATGTTAAAGGCATCGTATTAGTTCTATTATCGATTGCGGGAAATTAAACACTCGAATATTTCAATGTTCTTACATTATAGAACAATCTTGTGTTTGAGCCACTACCATAGCTTTATACTTCAAAGATTCTACATTGATTACATTCCTGTTGACCTCGAATGACTCTTGGCTCACGTCACTTAAGCATGTTTTTACGCAATTTTAGTTGTTGAATTGCATTTGTGGTCTGCTTACGCATATGAATTATTAGTACACATGTTAAAGTTTTATTTTAAAATGTATCGAGATATTACGAAGATCCGACTTGTCAGAAATATAATTATCCCGATGAACAAATATGTTTGAATATATAATATAATTCAGGTCTATACACAAACCTGAATTATATTATATATTTTAATTATAAAACACAACCATGACGTATTTAAACTTTAAAAATAAATATGTTTGAGTATCGACGTACGAAAGCTTGAACTTAAGAAGCAATGAATACAAATGGGTGTTAATAAGTTATTGCTTGATAATAATAGTTTTATTCTTGGCAGTTCTGGTATGGAACATTATTATGGTTGTCCACAGATCATGTGTCTTCCTGATCCTTCATAGATCTTTTCAGAGTATGTTGCATTGTAACGTTTTCAACTTCAACGATCCTAGGTTCTTGAAGTTTGTAATGACACAAACATCCGGATCTGTATCAACATTGCAAGTACACGAACCTAACCTAACCTATCCTAACTTAACCTAACTTAACCTAACCTAACCTAACTTAACCTGACTTCACACTGTAACATGCCCAGGATTGTTGCTGAAACAATCGGGAAAGGGATGTGGATTGAATTGATTCAGTGACAGTGATGATCCTTAGGTCCCGACAAAAGGAATATTTTAATTAGAATGCTCGTCTCGCAGACTCGAAGCACGTGATGCTCCCGACCGGACAACTCCACGTGGTGAATGTCGATGTATCGGACGGAAGGAGCAGCTACCGATGCCGGACGCTGCACAGACTCACTGGCAGGACACAAGAGAGCAGCACTGCTGGTCGCATTGTAATGGCTGGTAAGCCTTCTGGATTGTTTGCAGTCGTTTTTTTAAATGCAAAACTAACTGCATGAAGGCATTTTAGTTTCATTGTGTTCTTGTGCATATATTTAAGTTTTCCAGACAACAATTTTTTGGGGGCCACATCAATACCCTCTCTTACGTAGTCTACCTGAGAGGCAATGAGAATATGCAAATAATGCAGCCAGGATTTTAAAACGTGTGCATATAACGAATTGTCTTGTTCGGAATTCTTATTGAATTGGACGTGTGATAAGTAAGGCCGGTGATACATGGTGGAAACTTCGAGGGATTTCGCATCGCACTGTAAAGGGTTTTATGTATGGAATCCTTTGTTGGTGTTTTCCTAACTCGTCGCTAGGCGACCATAACCAGTGTTTGAATGCAAATCCGATGTATGTCCATCACAACGCAAACGTCAATTTTCTGTACAGCGATCACTCTGTGGTGCGTCACAGATAAATAAAAAATGTTTTGGTGACACGACTCCTTAACAATACCTTCCCATGTAGCCTAGACGCAATTCTTTAAAGTGACCTGTTTTTCAAGCTTATTACGAGTTTTTTGTAAACATTTATGATATTTACATTTTCCTCGCTTGATATCTCATTATTATTTATGTTATAACAAAATATGACCCTGAAGTAACCGTACGATGAATATAAAATACTCAAATGATTCTCATTTTAAATTGGGATAACGTGCTTGTTGTTTAGTTAGCGATAATTGTAATGGGCCCTAAGTTTATTTTACAGGACAGTTAATGCGATGTAATTAGCATTTTGGCAACGATTTCCCGGTAGTTAAGGAACTCTATTCAGATTTTATGGTTGGTCTCCATTTTCCCGAAAGAGCGATATTTCTGTGGGCTTCGCCCCTAGGGTGGTGAGCTTCCGTAGTTGCTGGGAAGTCTTCAATTTAACTGTTTCTCGGGGTATAAAAGGCTTCTCCGATCGTTCACGTAATGATTTGAAATAAAGTTAACTTCAAATTACAGTTTCCGGGTTCTCGTTCATCTGGAATAATATCACCTCATTATTTATTCGTGATCGGCTGTAAACTTGCGGTCAACAGAATTTTACTTCTGTGTTGATGGATGAAGATCTGGTCTCGATATATTTCGGTTGCTTTTAGAATGAGTTAAACACAGAAATTCTATACGATCATTTGTGCATTAAAATGATAATAAAATACGATCGTATGAATATAAACGTGTCCTTGCTGCCTCCATCTTCAGGCCTCGGATAATGGAGACATTGTCCTGATGACATTTTCTACTGATTGTAGTGGCTTTTAGTCAGAAGTTGTTACTGAAGATCTGTTGATGTTGTTGGACGCATGTAATTGAACTTGGACAGTTTTGGTATGAGTAGGTCCTCTGTCTGCAGAGTCGAAAGGACTCGTTGCGCCACAGCTGACGGACGGGAGTCCGCCTGTCGTGAGTGGGCGTCGTGGAGAGGACATTGTTCTGCCCTGCGTGGCCCAGGGTCTCCCGCCGCCCAGATTCTGGTAAGCGATGGCCTTAAAGAGGCTTCTTGCCTACGAAGGACAACCGAATGTAATTCCTTTGGGAGTTGGATCACAGAAATACTCACGAACTACAAATATCTCCTTTGATGTCTCATCTTTTCGCGAGATTGCAAATTAACAACAACAACAGCAACAAATGATGTCAATGCGAACAGAAATGCTGTTTTTTTTTCTCAAAATTTAGGGCTATGAAGTTGTTTATTGTGATTACTTAAATTAAAATTTGAAATTAGATGCGAAACTCACCTACGAGTTAATATAAACAGATCGAAATTTGTCTTTCTTGTAGTTTTGCTCTAACAATTCTGTAAGTCCCTGGTTCGCTTCCCAGCGCTTAGCGTCAGGTGTAAAAACGTATATTTCTTTCTGTTTGTGGTCTCGAAGTCATTTCGCCATAACAAGTTATGAATTCTACGAGCGTCTTTAATGTTTTTCGATGTTATTTTGCGTGTTAAAGCTATCTTTATGTGGAGTCGTGGCAGTTAATTGATCAGCTGGAATACTTGTTAAAGCATCGTCATAAATAAGAGGTTTTGTCATTTTAGAGCAGTGTTCTAAGAATAATCTCTTGCGGAATATTATTTTTCGCTATGAGATATTTGGACAGGAAACAAATTCACTTTTCGCTTCAGGTTTAAAGTGAAATTACGATCACAATTTTAAATCGGGAAGAGTCTCCGTTGATTATGTTAAACGCTGAGCAGCAAAATGTTGTTGGAACTTATAATTAGTGGGGTTGGGCGTGGGGTCGGATCAGCTGATAAAACTGAGATTCTAAAAAAAATAGGACTCTACTCAAAGGAGTTCGTTTTGTTATTTCATTTCTTATTTATTTTAATCCGTCTTATCACAATATTTAAAAT